CAAGTACGCCGTCTATACCCCGTTGTTCGCGAGTGCGATGATTCCCATGTTTGCGGCGGCGGTAAGAGAAATTGCGGCATGGCGGAGGCAGCGTAGAGAGGCTGCGGCTCAGTAGGAATACATCGCTGTGTAATTACTTTCCTCGCTGCATGACAGAGAATCAAAGCGCTGGTGCGTCGAGTGATGAGAACATCAAGTCGATAATTGGCAAGCTCAGGAAGCTGCATCTTGCTAGGGGAATAAAACCCGTGTACACTATAAATACAAATCCTCTTGATCCTTATGATATATACACTCTACGCAGCTCAGAGAACTTGCACGTCGCCTTACTCCTTGGACATGTCACCATCCCATCGTTCTTCAGCGACATCTCCTCCATCGCCTGCCCGAAAATCATCAGTCCACCAAAAACCTAAAGCAAGAAAGAACCGCAACGCACCTCCCGCGAATAAACATAGCCCGTATCCGGAAACGCCAACGGCATATTATCCGCATCCATAATCTTCCCCGTAATATAACACACAATCGTCGAGTTCGCATGATGACTGAGCGGCACCTCCTCCGCGAGCTTGCCGAGCCCCTCCGACATGGACCCGGCCTCGCCGTCGCACACGGGGCAGTCGACGTTCTTGGTCGCGTGCACGTAGCACGCGGGGAGCTTGAGTGAGGCGAGGCCCGCGTAGAGGCTGAGGTGCAGGAGGGGCTCGGTGGGGAGCGTGTTGAGGGAGTAGATGGCGAGGCGGAAGGATTGGATGAGGGCCGTCCAGCGGGCGGGGTCGTATAGGCGCTGAATTCGAAAAGAAGATCAGCGAGTTTGCTCTGGAATCGAGAAGGGATAAGGGGACCTTGTAGCGTCCGAACGAGGTGTCTGGTCGGAAAGCCAGTAGAGCGGAGGCTTGCTTGATCTGGTCTATGTGCGTTTCTTGCCATGAGACGAGATGTTTTCGCGAATATTCGATGGCCTCTTGGCGTTTGGAGGCACGAGCGAGCTCGATGTATTCTTGCAGTCGGAGGTCAAATTCGAGGGTACTCTGTCCGACCGTCAGAGACCTCAACAAGTGCGGAGATAAACGGCATACCTTCATCTTGCGCAAAGCCATCTTGTTCTCGCTGCACCATGCAAGCGCCTCCGTGCAGCTATGCCGCGCGAGTGCGCCCTCTATCCGCTTGATGTCGCTGAAAAGATCAATGTCCACCAAGGTCTGGTATGCAATGAGTAAAGCTTCTGCGGTAAAGGAGGCTGAGACGCACCTCGATATGCTTCTCCTTCGCAATCATCTTGGCGGTCTTCTCCTTCCCATTTCGCAGCGCCCAGTCCACTAGCCACCGGTCCAGCCTCGTGTCCGCCCACCGCCCAAACTCGGGGTCGTTCGCGGTCGGAATGCTCTCAACTGTGGCCAAGTGCTGCAGTCGCTCGCGTATGACATCCTGCGTGGGTTTCCCGGCGGTGTCGTGTAGGTCGGACAACTAATTACCAAGGACATTGAGCACATTTCGAGAAATAGCGCCGCTAAGCACCTTGCGCTTGAGATTCTCGACATTGGCAATCATGGCGTCGATAGAGGTTATGGCCGCCTCTGGGCTGACTCCCGTCGCGGAAGTAGACTCATTGACGAGTTGACTAGCTGCTGACTGGACGGCCTTGAGGTCGCGCTCGACGTTGCGCTGAGTCGTCCGGAAGACCTTGCGATAGTTTTCGTACGGAACCTACGTTGGCGTGAGGGTCCGGCTTTGAGAGAGAGGAGTAAGTATACCCGGACAAAGGGTTGCTCGAATAACAGGATTCCATCGACGTTCAGTTTATTCGCCATGAGAGTGGGAGCAGAAGGGATGATGGCGGATCAAGCTGAGATTCACGAATAATGTAGACGTTCGACAAATACTGCACTGGTACATATACACGGTCTACACGACAGAACTAGGACGATACGCACCCACAGAGACCTGGATAAAGGTCAGATGGAAGTAATCGGCGGAGAAAACGGCGCACCAAATCAAGTTGCATCCCAAAACTTGCCGTCTCCGAAGAGAGGAACACAAAAGCTCTCCGAAGAGAGTAGGGGGGGTGAAAAAAATTGTGTGTGCAGCACAGCAGACAGAGAGTAGTCTGAATCGAGTTACACGCCATCTCACCGTTCGCGAGACGGATCGATGAGCGTGTGCTGCGAAGTGCACTAAAGGACGGTCATCCTCTGCATCCCCCGAACCCAAGCCTCTCCTCGTACGCCGAACGACCGCGCGAATCCTCTGAAACCTGTTCCGTGCGGTTGCGACCGCTGCTGGGTTGATCCCGACCAAGGTACAGACTGCGAAGGGACGGGTGGCCTCGTGTGTGGGTCCGACTGCGCATTCCCAGTGTCGTGTACAGCCATTGCGATAGGCGTCGTCGAGGTGCGCGAAAAAGTGAATCCCAGGTACTTGCGTGTACAGGTCGCAGCCATCTCAGGCGCGGTTATGGCGAGGGTGTTCTGCGCGGCATTACACAAGACCGCCGAGGCGGTGGAGAGAGGCGAAGACGCGCTATTACGCCCCGGTCCCCTCCCAGCATTCTCCGAAAAGAACACCTTGGGCGCCGATAGAGAGACATGGAAGAGCACACAGAAAAAGACCGCCCAATCCCCACGACGAGTTCAAAACCCGTTCCCCAAGCTCTCCCTTCGAGAAGATCTTCGAGACGATAGAGGAACGGGTGGATTTCTGATACGCCGCTCGACAAATTAAAGTCGGGCCCCGCTGGGGCCAATCGAGGGGGACTGGAATACTCAGACCTTGGCCCGCTCGTGAGGAAGGACTGTAAAGTCCTGTGTGGAACGAGCGTCGCAGCCTTGAGTCTGCTGTGCGTAAGGAAAGGAGCGATGGCTCGGTTTTCGACGTTTTATATCGATGGTGTGACGTGACATCGCGTCCCCTGTTCCCCCCGAACTTCCCCTGGTTCATCCGATCCCTGTTTCTGCACGTCTCTGCGGTTTTGCGGCCCCTCAAACAGTCCCGTTGGCCATGCTCCCCGTTTACTATTGAAAAAACGTGCCCTGATCATGAAAATTAAATTATCTTGGGCTTCCGACGACGGCAAACTCTTCCCCGCCGACGTGAGACCTCAAAGCTGCTTTCCCCGTCCCCCACATCACCGCCTCTTTTATGACACACCACCGTCTCTCTCCTGACTCCTTCAAGAACGCCGCCATCGCCAACCTTTGCGCCCCGTTTACCCATTGTGTCAAACTTTTGGCTGCTTGCTTACTGGAGGTTTTCTCAAAGGCCCGAGATTCGCCTACTACTCCGAGTGATTCACTGGAGTAGCTTATCTCTTTCATATACCTTGACTTTGCCTTCAGGCGCGCCCCACCCTTCCATTCGAGCATGTTTTAACTCTGGGTCCTGGAAACCCTGACTTTCCGCCACCGCCGACATGCCTCTCGACCTCTGTCGCTCGTACGCCGCTCCCGGAGCCGCAAGCACACCCTCTCCATCAAGCCGGTCCGCGCTCCTCCTTCCTACTTTTTTTCGTCTCTGTGCGGGGTAAACGATTACGATTATCTGGTGGTTAATCTCGCGGGCAGCCAAAACAGCTCTTGCCTTTCATTCATTCATTTCTCCCATCCTTTGCTTTCTTGGCCGTCCGGGTCCACAAGCGCGCACCCTACCCTCGCGGAGCCGACTCAGGACCCGCGGCGCCCCGTCCCCCGTCCATGGTGTTCTCACCCGCACATCCCATCTCCGCTTGCCCCACATGCTGCGGGCATTACTCGGCGCCGTCACCATTACGACGCTTTCATATTCGTTTGGCTGGTTACTTCTTGGAAAGCGGCAGGAGGTTGACTGTAATTCTTGTGAAGAGCTGTACGCCAATCACTCGATAATCGCCCAATCTCGCGGGACTTGTGTTCTCCGCTCAGTTCAGCATGACGACGATCTTTCCTTGATTAATTATTCGAGCCTTTTGGTCGCCGTCCCTGCACATGAATAGCCGCTCATCTTCACTGCATTCCAATCACCAATCTAGTCTCGCGGAACTCATGCATCGTGCATCGACCATCGCATCCCTCACGCAGCCTTTATTCTCCGCCTTCCCCATCTCCTGCTACTCGCCGAGGTCGCCGCCGGCGCGCGACAACAGCCGTTCGCGAAGCTCTTATTTACCACTCGCTATCGATACATCCTAACCGCATCGCACGGAACTCATGCCCGCGCGCCCAGCGAAACCTTGTCCTTGTTCTTACGAGGACTCAGTCGTCGACTCGGACAGCTACCATTCAATTTCTTCCACTATCGCAGCGGAGATGCATTTACACCGCATGCCCCGCGGCGTCTCATATCCTCCTCTACATCCAGCACGATCCATCTCATCTCAATATTCTACGATCCTGTTCGTATGGAGTTTGTGCTCGCGGTCCCCGAGGTCCATTCGTGTGTAAATTCGATTCTTAAAGTGCTGTATCTTGCGGATCGTTATAGTCGGGCCCGGTGATTTCCAGCCTATCGTTCCGGACATAAACTGGGCTAACCAAGAGACGGCCAGTGTCCAAATTGTACTATACTCCTTGTTACTTAGTTCGAGAATGTACTTTTTGATGCGAGAAAAAGCCAAGGGGAGAGGGCGAGGTGGACCTTGAAGTGGCAGATCCAAGCCTTTGGACACGGCGCAGAGTTCGGAAGATCACGGTAGAGTAAAACAAGAGATGGATAAAATCAATGTATTATAGTAGCTGTTCAGGCATTTACGGCGGATGTAACTAGTCTGCTGGCTATCTACCGTGGTGCGAATGAACTAATCTAAGTACAATAGATGGTAGCCATGAGAAAAAGAGCTTCCGTAGGTATATGGCGTTGGGTGCGCGCGTAACGCAGAGAAGGGATGAGGGGAGGAGCGGCGTGCTCCAGTAAGGAGGACTGGGGGGGGGGGGGGTGGGATGGGTGGGGAAAGGGGGAGATGAAACGAGGGAGGGGGAAATTGGGAAGGGATGGCGGGTTGGGTGGGACGGGATAGAACGAAAAAAGAGTGCCCACTAGCTGAGTCGAACAGCTGATCTTCGCATAGCAGACGGTTCTACGAGTGCGACGCCTTACCAACTTGGCCAAGGGTTGCTTATGTAAGGACAGGGCGGATCCTTCCTGTGGAAGGACAGGACGGATGAGATATGATGTAGAGTTGCGCATCATCTCATCCTTCCTGTGGAAACACAGGAAGAATTTATATGAGCAAAGAGGTGTCCAGGACAAACGTCAAAGCGAGGAATCCAAATCGGAGTCGACAGACAAACACGGTACATCCGGTTCACCGCCACCTGTCAGAGTCCTGCTTCTGTTCCTGGTCCGTCTTGGTCCGAGTACTTAACGATGAATATCTCTCTCTCTCTCAACGATAAACCTCGCACATAAGCCCAAGCCCAATTGACCTCAAATCTTGCGCAAGTCGATAACGCTGATCTTCAAAAGGTTTTCAACTTCCAGTACGCGACTACATTTGTGAGGGGCAAAATCCACCAATTTGCGGGTGATCAACCCAGCTGGGACTTGACCGAGGCCGATCCAATCCACGTTCCCACCGTTGAATCACTAGGACTGGTTGCATGATCGACAAACAAAGATGGCAGTCGCCGGGATAAGATCGAACAGATGCAGTCAAGTTTTCACCGACGGTGACCATCGGTGAAATTTCTTCGGTGGAATGAAGGTATTTGACACCAGGCGAAGGAAAAAGATGCCCACTAGCTGATTCGAACAACTGATCTTGTCATATCGCATGGAATACGAGTGACACGCTTTACCAACTGAGCCAAGCGGGCGATGACTTCCATGTTCAACGAACACACCATCCAGGCTCGGCGCGTTTCGTTCGACTCGCACACGCTTTACCAACTGAGCCAAGCGGGCGATGACTTCCGTGTTCAACGAACACACCATCCAGGCTCGGCGCGTTTCGTTCGACTCGCACACGCTTTACCAACTGAGCCAAGCGGGCGATGACTTCCGTGTTCAACGAACACACCATCCAGGCTCGGCGCTGCGCGCCTCGCTGAGCAATTCTTCCTGTGTTTCCACAGGGAGGATGGACGTCCAGAGACTATGTGGGATCCTTGCCCTGCAAACACGGGATATACAAGTGGATGCTTCCTGCGAGCATGAGTACAACCCAGCAGTCAACCCTTCGGAACCACAGGGAGGAATATATATAATTCAGTGGGTTGGATACTACTATGGTTCACTCTCAAATTTTTTTCTTGCATTTATTTTGGGCGACGGTGGCCGTCGTTGAGTTGGCACCACGTCGTTCATCCGTTCGGGCCGTATATTGGTCCAACTTCAACTTGAACTGAACACAGAATCTAGTACTAGCATAGTTTCGCTATCTGCTATTTAGATTCAGTCAACGAACCAACGGCTTGGTTCACATACGAGACTTGCACCCATTCAAGTTGAACCGACTGTTGAACCGAAGACGGTCAGTACAATGAATATACGGACCCAACATGATACACATACCGCAACTTCGATTAAAAAAGCACGGGCCGCGAGTAAGGCCAAAGCAGCCTGAACGCGCGTGGGTCAGTGCAACTTGCCAACGAAACCAATAAAATTCGTACCTCCGATTCAACACGCATAGTTTCGGTATACTGACGATTAGAACGTCGACTGCACGCGTACCTAGGTTCAACCGAGCGAAACACCGTCCTTGAGTTGGTACTGGCCTGATAGTCGTCGGGCCGGACTTAAACTTGACGGCGCGTCGAGCACATCGCGGTTAAGTGCCTCTGAACGAATGAGAAGTTCAGCGAAAGGTTGACGGTGATAGCAAAAGAGGGGAACGCACCTGAGTTCGGATGCTCCGGTGAAGATAATCCTGTAAGATTTCGACAATAGGCCGGTCCCAAGAGCAGGAGGTCGCCACAAAGATCTATGCACGTTGAGTATTGAAAGGGATGATAATATCGACAATACAACACACAATGCTGAACCTCGCAATCTCAGCGGCGCCGAGTCGAATTTGAATCGTTCCAGCTCCTCGTCTAGGTCACACAGTGAGTGAAGCGAAGGTCAGTTATGTGTTATCGACGATGACAAAATCAGAATTAAACGCACCTTGGGGTTCAGTTGAAGTTCAACTAAGACAATTGCGCCGCCGAAATCATTCAAATCGATTTGGATGGTGGAAGGGCCTGAGATCGAGAGCTGTAAAGGAAAGAAAGGGTGGGTTAGTATCAAGGTAACGAGACCAGAGGAAGACCCACTTGGAATGAAGGGGAAGCTTTGAAAAATTACAAATGTGCTCGAGGTCGTGGTTCGGTTTGAACTCTTGAAGAAGGTCGGCATCAAATACGAGGAGCGCGAGGGTGAACAGCCTTTAGACGAGACCGTCGAAGGTCAGGAATGTACTAACGATGACAGAAGGTGGAATATAACGCACCTTGGGTTCAAGAACTCAATCCAACAATGAGCCGCTGAAGTCATTCAAGTGAATTTGGAATGGTCGAAGGGCTTAAAATTGAGAGCTGTGAACGAAAGGGCAGTTAAGTATCGGGGAGAGCAAGACCGAGTTTGAAGGGGAATCTTGACAGTACACAGGTGTTTGAAGTCGCGGTTCACTTTCAAGTTGAATCTTGAAGGTTACCGGCATCGAATTACGAGGAACGCGAGGACATCCCCTGTGAGCTGGGCGCGGTGTCGAGAGATACAACAAGTGAGTGACCAGGAGGCCCAGAGGACAACGAAGATTGCAGGCTGCGAAGAAAGATAATAGTTCACGGCAACAGTTGAAAGCAGTGCACATTTCTCCTTTGGGTCAGTTCTCGTTCCTTCAACCACAGTTGAACCACCACGACAGGATTCGGAAACGCGTTGCGATTCCAGAGGGACAAAACTCAGTTTCCGGCACAGACCTTCAGAACGGCTGGAAAGTCCGCAGTTTGCTCTCAAGAATTAAGTGGATGGGCCACCTGATGCGTGTTGAAACTTGGAATTGGTGTCGGCCATTGGACAGTAGTAGATAGAGGTGTTGGAGGCTTGAAGGTGCATCTGCCGCCATTACTGATTTTCTGACCGGTACTTAAAGACTCGCTTGACGTTAGCGCCATGGACGGCAAGATCAACAATGTTTCGACCTCGGGAAATACACGACAAAGACGCGTCAATTCCGTGTTCCGCCCCAGTCTCTCTCCCTCTAGCTCCGGAACTTACTGGTGGAGAACCGTGGCGTGTTGGTTCGCTGTCCCAGGACTCGAGATAGCCAGCCTGAAAAGCGCGCGACGATGTTGGGTTCGCCATTGAGCTTGGAGCGTTAACGAGACCGGGATCTAATCCGGAGTTGGCTATGCAGAAATGAAAGCAGGAGTTGACGTACCCAAGAAGCTGAGAATGTGGATATGAGCGCTGCCTCTCTCCTAGTATTCCGTCACGAATGGTTTTGACCCGTGCAGCTTCGGTCGCATGGTTTTTGTGGTCAAAAGCAATGGAGGGGAGGTTTTCAAGTGCACTTGTTGATGGTCAGGAATAAAGAGCGGGATTGCAGAGCCTCTGCATAAAAGACTAATGTTAAATACGGGGCGCGCTATATCTGCGATCGTGTTTCGGGGTAAAATGGAAGGATGACGGTGTTGTGGGAAGTTGCATAGGTGGTTTGCGATTGGTGGATAGATATTGGCTGTTGAATGCAGAGTCGAAGACACGTTGTTGACGAGTTTCAGACCGTTGTCGACGAGCTTCAGAATGGCGGGGACAGGTAATTTGCGGTTTCCGAATGGGATGAGTCGAACGACGGCGGGATGCGCATCGAGCATTGGGTTTGTTATGTGGCAATAGAAAGTTGGAGGTCGGGTCAGAGCCGTTTGGCGATCACGTTTCCGTCCATCACCAAATTGGGAAATTATGCGCGAGGGCTTATATGCGATTGTGATCGCCCCAATCCTCGCAATCCTTGAAACCGAAAATCTGCATGTGTGGGACTCGCGGTCCTCACAATCCATTGTGGATCTCGCGAGCGTCGCAAGCGCATGGAAGGGCATACATGCCCTTCCGATATTTCGTACATGCTATGAGGATGGTCGTATTTACCATTCAAACCCGGCAGGTAACAGCACAAAAAGAATAAAATGTTCGTAGTATTGGGCGCTACGACGGACAAACTCGACAACTACTCTAAGATAATCCCATTCAGCCCACGCGCGCGCTCGGGGACAGCATGCACACGCAAAGGGGCCGACGATGCTCGGGGGAACGAACTGGCCACTAGGGACACGCAGTTAGTGCTCGTCGTGAGGGAGGGAGAGAGAAACGCACGAGTGAAAATGCGAGTGAAAATGTCTGCAATGGGCGCCTGACTCCGAGGCCACAAGCCTGTATTGAGGGGGAGGGGCGGGGAGAAGGACCTGAACCGTAAAGCGAGGCCTTGGTATGCCCGCTCGAAGTCCGATTTAGATGCGAATCGACTTGACGAGACGTCGGGCGATTATTTGAGATGTGGCGCGTTGAGGACTTGCGCGGCTTGCGATGTTGATGATGGAGGTGGCGCGTTGAGGACTTGCGCGGCTTGCGAGATAGATAATGGAGGTGCAGTGGCAGGCTCTGTTCGGGGATTGTTTGAAGACGGTAGGCAGTTTGTACTACTAGCAATTTGTAGTTAAAAGTTGAGGTGTTGCGACACGGCGGTTGACCCTAACCTAACCGGTAAGGTCCGTTGCTGCAGGGTGGCTTCCAGTGGCTGCTGCAGCATAGTTCATGGCTTTGAGTCGATGTGTAGGCGGGTTCAGCTTCAGTGGAGGACGGTAGAGCGAGGTGCGTCGTGGTGGGAAGGGAAGAAGGTGGGATCAAAAACAACTGTCAAACCGAAACGTGCGTCCTTGATGCGCACGGACCCATCATCGGAGTTTGAAGCACTTGTTGTTCGAAGGTTTCCGCACATGAAAACAATTATTTCCCCGTTTCGCTATCCGAGAAGAGAGTGAAGGAATGGGCGTTGACGATTGCAATATTACTTATCATAGTCGTAGACTAAAGATATTACGTTCGCCTACTGGCAAGAGTTGTATGGTCAGAAAAGGGCTTGCGAACACCCACAACTAGTGTGAGCTCAGGCGATGTCCTTGCAACAATTGTGAGTGGATCGCGGGCACGATATAATAATTGTTGGACGATTGTATGCGGTTGCGAGCGCGTGTCGGTTGACCATCATAATTGCGGCATCTCGCGAACCTCGTCTGGCGTTACCTGATTTTTCCCAATTTGGTGATGTCAACAAGGATAAACTCACCTTTGTTGACCACGCTCTGCACGTTCTGCCACCACTACCGTCAGGTTGCGCGGGAGCATCTCCGTGCCCCGCGTATCCTCCGCTTTCACTTGCGTTTCTTGTTGGTCGCGGGTGCAACAACGAGCCCTGCATGCCTTCAATGCGATGTGGATTCCCGTGCCACCCAAAATGCAGGGTTTGACCTCAGTTCCTCGTCAAACGGATTTATCCTGTGTATTGCATCTCGCGCAAGGCACGGACATGCCATGCACACTTGCAGTACCAGTATTTGCGATCCCCGCGACTGGAACTGGGTCAAACATCCATCACGGTGTCAACGTCGACGGTCGGCGTGTCAAACGCGTTCAAATGTGGTCATTGGCGAAAAAATATCCATCATACACCTCCTAGGCTTCGAATCATGGCCTCGGATGCGCTCCCCGCCGCGACTTTGGATTGTGGCCGTCGTGTTTTCTCGCCCAAGCCAGGTGCACAGCCACGGTACCTTTCTTCCACGACTCACCAAGCTGGCGCGCTCCGAGTATGCCATCCTCGCCGCTCGCA